GCCACATAGGTGGGAGCTGCCGAAGCAAGCAGCTCGGATGTAGGATCAGGGTTGTCGTCTCCTGGACGATATACTACAGCACATATCTGTCCATGTCAGAGTCATCTCGGCCGCGATGTTAGAAGTTCTTTCTTCGGGAAATTCCTAGCACCCATTAACTGAAGAATATCATGTAATTCGAATCTCATTGATGGCCCTATTCCTTCATAAACGGAGTACTGGGCTAAGCCACATCTCCGGCAGGCTTTTCCTCCGGACCAATGACAGGGGCGGCGATGCCACTTGGGTGCCATCTGAGTTTCGACGGCTTTGGAGTTTTGGTCTTGGAGGGCCCGTGCTCGGAGAAGATGTGCTGAGCCCTTGAGAATCCGACTAATCCTACCTACTTGTGGTAGCGTTTGGGGGATTAGAATCCTGTAGTAAAAGTATCTGTCGCACGTTGCTACGCACGAAATGTCGACAACCCCCCCCCCACCTGGCATGATTTGTCGATGCAGGAGACCAAAACAAAGTCTATGGAGCCTATATCCTAAAGCTTTGCCCCTAAACCCTAACCCCTCGCAACCCTCCACCAACCTAAGAAGAAGCAGAACCCCTAAACCCTATAAAAGATGCCCTTCAACCCTAAGAAGATACCCCTAAAGCCTAAAAAAGGAAGCAGAAGCTCTAAACCCTATAAAGATGCCCTTCAACCCTAAGAAGATACCCCTAAAGCCTAAAAAAGGAAGCAGAAGCCCTAAAAGGCCCGAAGCTCAGGCCAGGCGCCATGGGCGGGGGGATGCAGGGGCCGACCATCGAAGCTTTCGTGGAGGCGAAGATTCCGACTTGCAGCTTTAGGGTAGTTAATGTAGGTTCCTTTTAGGGTCCCTTTAAAGGGATCTATAGGGATTCTATAAGGGTATAGGGTTTAGGGATATCTTTTTGGGGGTTGAAGGGGTATCTTTATAGGGTTTAGGGTAGTTAATGTAGGGGCCTTAAAGAATAAGAATAGGTTATGGGGGTATATTGGCTTATAAATTCGGGTACATAGTCAAATTAGGGTAATGTAGGGTTCTACAAGGGATCTATAATAGGCTTCTAAAATAGGGGCGTTAACTATTAGAACAGGGTTTGGGGTGTCCTAGAGTGAATGCAGGGGTATTAGTATTTAGAATCGTGTTCCTTTAAAGGGCTCCTTTAAAGGGCTCCTTTAAGGGTACTATAACAGATTTAAGGATGCAGGGGCCTTAACAATCAGAATAGGGGAATAGGGTTTGGGGGTATGCTCTGGTATTATTATAGAAAGGAACCCCCCAAAACCCTATTCTAATTATCCGCCTCCTACATTAGTTAGCATCTTGGGTTTGCGATGTATGGGTACTCAGGGCAGTAAGGTAGACGGTGAGGTGGGCTTCGGGTGTCGGGTCCAACCCTCGGGCGGAAGGTCTCGCATTAAGGGTTTTGTTACGGTAGTTAGGACAGTTAGGGTTTAGGGTAGTGAGGGTTTAGGGTAAGTAGGATGTAGCGTATTTAGGGTTTCGGTGGGTCCCGTCGAGCAGAAACGTCGGGCAGCAGAGCGACAGCAGAATGTGAGCAGCACCAAAGAATGTCCGAACTTTGGAATGAAATCCCTGGTCATTTTGGTTCGTGTTGCAGCTTGTTTCTGTTGGGGTCCTTTCTGTGTTTTCTGAATCTCCCAAACAAGGCCATTCCGGCTGGGTTCACGGTTTAGATTTCGATTGTTCTCAAAACGAGTCACCATTGCCATGCCCGGTGCATTTGCAAGTCCCCGCTGTCAGAAAGCAAAAAGTGTAAACGGCCTACGCCGGCCAGAAGAAATTTAAGTCCGAACTGGTTCGCTGAAGGCCCCAGTGCTCAGGCTCCAAACTAAACCCAGAGAGCCCAATACCCCTTAATTAAGGAATATACCTTACATCATCAGGGGCTTCATATTATGATCTAAGCTACATTCCTGTATTAAGGGGTATTGGGCTCTCTGGGAAGACACCATCAACCTGCGCCTGGCTTGGCTCCAGAAGCACGCACCTCCCTGCTCACCGCAAACACACACGAGTCAGACTTCAAAAGGCCGCCTAACAGGCTTAAAAGTGCTTTTTACCAACTTTCCTGGATCTGTTGGTGCTTGGGAGTCTTGGGCTGAGGGTTTTGGTGGCATGGCCACAAGCCCAAGGTCCGTTGCGGGCAGCATGAGCAAGATTTTTCTCAGTTTCCTTTTCGGCTTTTACTTGACGACTTCGATGGCACGCGGACTCGGACCAAAAAGTTGTCATCTCCTATCTCTGCCTACCCAAGTTTGTGACTGTCTTTCCCTCTTAGGGCGGAGCCTTCCGCTCCAGGAGTATTTGGCGTGCTTCTCTGCATCGAACCAGCAAAAGGCTTAATTTTGCTGTAGATCCCTGCTCCATGACGGCGAGGCGGACGAGAATTGCGAAACAACGCGAAGTAGCTTGACACTCTGGAAAGCAATCAATCTCTCTGAATCGCAGGTGTCTCCAGAGGTGGAACCTCTCTTCCGAAAGGAGCAGGTGCACAGAGCATTTCTGCGCAAGTGGTCACGCCCATACGGTGTCCTCACACTGGATGCTCACGTTACCAAACCCTTAGCGGCCTTAGCGCTTGCATACAGAAAATGGCTCTAGCTCTCTGCCTGCTGAGTAAAAGCACTAGTGCTCTTCTCAGCTGGCAAATACAGCAGTCACTGCACAGCCAGGATGGTACGTGCGAGCCTCAGCACCCGTTCGACAGACCCTTAGTGGTTCCGAATGGGTATCCAAAGTTGAACCCTTCTAGCTTCTGAACCCTTTTCCTGTCTCTGGGATACTCAGACGCTGCTTTGGACGATTGTGCACAGCAGCTTCCATGGCTGAGGAGACCAACTCCTCCGATATACATACATACATACACAGTATTTGTTTATGCACATATAGGTATATGTCGCGAGTAGTTGTTGATACAGCGCTTGGAGCCCGGGCTGGTAATCTGTCAGCTCCGAGGTTTAGCATGCAGGTCCCCCGCATCAGGGTGCGTCTCAGCACCACCTGCACGCCTGAATCCCAGTCCTGCAATTCAAGCATCAAGGAGCCGACCGAGCCCGCAGCCACGAGTGATTGCAGCCATGTGTGTGTGTACACAGTTGCAACAGAAGAATAAAGGTACACGATAGCAACGTTAAGTCGATACCCTTGTCACCCGAAATAAACCACGACTGTTTTTGCCCAGTGCGAGTGGCAAAAGATCCCAAAGAAAGGCTGTCAGACGATAAGGACGATTAGGAAGGCTTTTCTTGTACCCCAAATAGTATTATCCTTATTATAAGGACCCCTAAATAAGGTACCCCTATTTTGTTCGATTCTCCAGGCCCCAGCCAATGCCAGAGCCTGGCTTGTCTCCTTTCCGTCCCTACGAGGATGAACCGGCTGTTCTGCAGCAGGGCTTGTGCGGCAGACAGGTTTTGTTGGAAGATTGCTTGGAGGAGTATGATTTGCGGGTTGAATGGAAGCAGCCAAGCTTGGAGAGCCTCGCACAGGAATGCGGGTATAGGTTTGGACTTCTTAAGTGTGCTTGATCACCGTCATCTCCTGTTGCACGCATCGTGACGGGAGGAGTTCTTCGTGGACATGCCAGAGCTTGCATGGGTTGTCTTCAACCCGTGGACAGGCATCCACCCAGCTGGTCTTTTTTGGGCTTCGGGTCTTTGGTTCTGGGGCTTGGAACCTGGATTGTCGAGGGCTCGAGTTTAAAAGTCTAGCACTTGCCAGCTTAAGCTTTCAGCTGAAGCTTCCAACTTTGGCTCCCTTTAACTAAGCTGCCACCGTACTGACACTGACTCTCACTCCTACTATCCCGTCGCCACTCGCAGTAACTACTCCAGTGTCTTAAATGGGAGCCAGCAACGACAATGTGTCCTTTGTGCTGGTCCCAGCATCTTCTTGCTTAATCGGCTTCCTGGCCAGGCACGCCTCCGGGTGGCACCATAACGGCCGCTCCCCCGGCTTCTCTCTTCGGCTCGCTTTTGGTAGCGTCGCATGTCGCAGCCGGTTTTATGAACGGGGAAGTACCCAACAAAAGCTCGAAACCGTGGCCCTAAACCCTAAACACCCAGCCCGAAGATCCAGACACTGGCCCAACTCGTCCCTCTGCTTTGCTTTGCTGCAATATCATATCAAATCATATAAAGTATCAAAACATGTCATACTAATATCATATCAAAGCACAAATATCATATCATAAACGATAATGCAAATTGTCAACTGCAACGTGTTACCGAGGCTCAGGCCCGGAAGCGCGGCGCTGTCCTGGAGGCTCCCGTCTCACCGGGTGTCCACCGCTTGCTCTGGCCGTATTTATGTGTTTGTATATATATATATATATATATATATGTTTATATACATACATACATACATACAGTGTACAAATACATACAAATACATTTATATATATATATATCATATATACTTACATACATACATGTACATGTAGCTGCTGAAGAAACAGAGACAGATGCATGTGCAGATGTTCGGGATACATACAGGTGTACACAGACCTGCGCATATACTTACATGTGGTTTCATATGTATGCATGCATGTACGTATGTATTTATGTATGTAAGTATGTATGTGTGTGTGAAAATGCCTGCATGTGCACATACACATGTACACAGTCATGCACATGTTCGGGGTGGCCGAAGGATGCAGGCCTCTTTCTGCAGTTGCTCTGCGTCGGAACACGGCTTCGAAACGCAATTTTTATGCACACATGCAGCCCCCGGGGAGCCTACTTGCATCCAGGTGTCGCAGCAGACCACCCTGCATGGAAAGCTGAAGGCGACTGTTGGCTCTGGGAGCTTTGAATCCAAGCACTCCTGAATACCGGCACAGCTTTACTGGCAGCAGGTGATGCTCTCGCTGCAGCCCGGCTCAGTATGTTGAATACCTGTTAGATCCTATTGGCCAAGGCCGGTAGGGCTGTGATGCGCTGAGGGCTGAGGCTCAAGAGCCCCATGGAAAGTGTGCTGAGCTTGGTCGAGGGCCTGAATTCACATGCGCAGGAGATCTTCGACCGCCTGGATGCCGCATGCGGCCAGATGGACACACGGCTCAGTGGCTTGGAGACCCGGCTTTCGCAAGCGACCGAGCGCATCGAGCGCACCCGTGGCAGCACAGCAGCCCTGAAGGTCCAGAGCGCCCGAACCTTCCAAGGGCGGGGTGCACCGAGCTTGCGGGCAGCGCACCGGGTGCTGGACGAGAGCCTTCTCGTGTCCTTGCGCTCTACGGCACCGATCCCTGAGCTCGACCAGGGCCAAGGACGGAGTTCCACGGCGCTAGCCGAAGACTTGGCTCGCGTCTACAAGTGTGTGAACCAGCATCGGAACCTGGAGGTTACCGGGGGTCCTCGGACTCGGACAGGAAGCGAGAGGCTCCTACCTGCTGCTGGTCGCTTGACTTCGGTCTCTGAGCTCTTCCTCTTGAACTCCTCCGAGCAGCCCTACAAGGTGAGGCATGAGGTGGACAACTTGGCAGAGCCAGAGGACGAAGCTTTCTACCACGGCAAGCGCGCAGAGATGCCAAAGCAAGCAGCCGAGCCCGAGGAAGACGTAGACTTGGAGGAGGACGAGCCATTGCGGGAGCACGAGGACTTGCGCTTTAGGCCACGACCAGCTGCAGAAGTGACATTCGATCTTCCAGATGTCTTGCCGGACCTTGGGCATGTGGCACACCTGGTGTGGCGCGAGGGCGAACAGCACTCCGAAACGGCACGGCCCGTATGGGATGCACCTCCTCCGGAGCTTGGTCGTGCGTCCATCAGCGCCGCCCCAAAGCCCGCCCGGCCTGCACCACCTGCACCAAAGCGAGCACCCCCACCAGCTCCGAAAGCCACTCGCGCAGCTGAGCCGTTGCTGGCCCCAAGCTCAGGGCCCGCCATGAAGGCAACTCTATCCCAGGCAGCCGCACCCGCACCAGCCGTACCGACCCCACAGCCAACACAGCCGACGCAGCCGATGCCGGCCGCGCAGCCGTCCAAGCCCTCAACACCAGCACCTCCGCCGCCGAAGCCTGCGGCTAAGGGAAAGGGCCCCAAAGGCAAGGGCAAAGGAAAGGGACCCGCACCACCTCCACCGCCCGCGAAGAAGGCCGCGGCTGCTACCAAAGCGCCCGCACCCACAGAAAAGGCCGCAGTTGGAAAAGCAGCCATGTTCGCAGACATTCGTTCTGGTGGTCCAAAGCTGCGCAAAGTCGCGCCTCCGAAGGAACGTTCCGGCGCTGCAGTTGGCCGCATCGTCTAGCTTCCTGTTTCCAAGCTCCGGCACAACTTTGCTCGTCATAGTTGTCACACAATGTATGCTCTGCAGTGACTCTACAGCTCTACACATTATCACTTCGTAATCGCACGATTTGGCTGTTCTGCACGACCGAGCTTGGATCACTCCATCACTTGCTTTAAAGCAATCGGCGGTGGCACCGCAGAAAAGGTTGATGTAGCTGCTGCGTCTTGCAGTGCATGGGTTATCCACATGCTGACATCGGGCTTTGCTACGGTGTTTTGCAAGGGGTTCTTGTTGAAGTCTTTGGTGTCGGCTGTGCCAACTACAGAGATCGAAGCCTGGATGCTGGAAGGCGAATTCGCCCTACGGAACTTTGGTGGTGGAAGACCGGCAGGCAGGAATTTTAGGAGTACCCCAAACTCATGGCCTCCGGCCCGCTGCCATCAGGTCAGCGCCAGCACGGGCATGTCGCAGACGCTTCAAGAAGCCTTGCTGAACTACCAGCTGAAGGCGGGTACCGCCTAGGCCCAGTCTGCCTTGTGATAAAGGGGCTGGGCTGAGCTCTCACTCGAAAGGTCGAAGGCACCCTTTCAGCAACACAGCTGCAGATTAGGTCTGCCGACGATCGCAAAGCCAAAGCGCCAAACATGTGTACACCGACTGTTCCAGAGCCTTGGGCCTGTACATCCTTTGCCTCCTGCCACCAGCTGAGGTGAACAAAGGTGGTGGCAACTGCGGCAGGGGCCCCAGCTTGTCCACTGAGCCTCACTGAGCAGGCTGCAACTTCAATAAAGCCCGTAATGTTCCATGCACCCTTCAATCCTGCAGCTGACACTTCTGGAATGGAAGCTTCACACTACGAGGCGTTTGGGCCCAGAGTCGTTTTGTGATTGCACCCTTGCAGGCTCAAATCGCTTGGAGGTGGATCTTGCCTTCTATTTTACGTCCCTGCCTGAGCTCTGAAGGGTGAGATGAACAACGCCCGAAAGCCTTCCGCCCTCTCAGGGGCTCTGTGAAGTCCGGGCTGAGATGAGTCGCCTCGCTGTGACAGCGCATCTAGTCTCTGATAGTTATACACAGTCGGCTGAGGGTATGCAAGATATGTAGATATAGATGACATGTACTGTACATCATATACATAACAGGTATGTCGCATGTCTATTTCATTACGCATCTATACCTAAGTAGCGTAAACTGCGGCGAAGTTTGTGCCGGGGCTTGCCCAGAGTGCACTCCATAGCTTGACTCCGCATGTGCAGATTGACGGCTGATTTTCCCAGTATCTGCCGTGCTCTTATCGGCTACTCTCCTGACAGGAACTGGAAATTCCAGTGGACCCATTATCGATTTTGCTCCTTTTTGCTGTGCTTGCTAGATCTTACAGGGATGTCGGCATCCCAGATGGAAAAACGGCAGTGGCGCGCAGGACTTCGACCTCCATTCATTGCAGCCGCGGATATGGCACGCCTCAAAAGCGTTGCTTGGGTGAGGTTCCACTTTCAAGAAGATATTTGGACTCGTTTGAAAACACGAGTCTTGCAGCTTAGCACGTGACTGTCGGAGCATGAGCTTGGACGCTTGGCCAGTGCCCGCACTGCCGCAGCCTGCAAGAGTAATTCGGAAGTAAGCTGTGCATGTGCAGGTTTAGCGACAGCATCCATGGACAGGGTGAGTGGAGTTCGAGCCCACAACACCAGAAGCCAGTGCTCCAACTGCTAAGCACGTTCTACATTGGGGCTGCCAGCGTAGCACGCGACCCAACTTCCTTGGGGCACGAGTTTGCATCTTAGCATTCCAAGTTCTGCCGCCGCCCGCCATGGGTGAAGGCTGCCTCTGCAACTTCGACACCCTGAAATGAGCGCCTTAAGCCAGAAACCTGCCCCACCAGTTCTTGCAAACCCCTGAGCAGTAGGCTTTGACTCTCCACGACCTGAGCTGCAGACTCAAAGTCTAATAAGAGTATTAATCAAAACTAATAATACGAACAATGGAAACACTATCAACTTTACTATTCACACTAATAATACGAATAATGGAGCAGTCTCAACTTTACTATTAACACTAGTAATACGAATAATGAAACAGCATCAACTTTACTATTAACTTTGCCAACCAGAAAACCCAAGCACCCCGGAGGTGGCATCCCGACGGCCGCAGCATGGGAGACGATTACTGCCGAGGCTGCCCAGCCTTGGGCAAGAATGTGTACATATCGGGGCCTTTATAATTAGAATAGGGTTTTGGGGCCCGTTATATTATGATCATAATAAGGTATCCCGAAATAGTATAGGTAATTATCTTTAACATCTTGTATCACTGAACACACTGCCTGGTTTATCTTGCTACTTGGCTATCTATCTACCTCCGACCTATTTGTCTCTGTATCTCTCTCTCTCTCTGCCTTTATCTCTGTACATGTGTATCTACGTATGTATGCGACGTTTTGCATGTCCTACTTTCTGAGTGGACGTGATCAACGGCTAGAAGATCAACGTGCTTTCATTCTGACGACCTTTGAGGGAGCCCAGATGCGAAAGGGGGCTTCGAGTCTCCCGAAGTTTGGGGGTGCCATAATACAGGGGCCTCGATGATTACTTATACGACCTATACTATGTTGCGGATTCCTTACTCTATTCTAATTATGGGCATAATGGGCCGCAAGATCCTATTCTAATTATCAAGGCGCCTAGATTAGGACCGGAGATAGCGTCACGCTCTGTGCGGAGCCAGACGCACATAGGTGGTCTTGCCCTTTTGCTGTTTTTGTTTGAGAAATTTCCTTAGGTCAGGGAGGTACCTTGGAGTGTTTAGGCGCCTGTGTACATCCCAGAGGGCCCAAGGCGATTCGAGTGTCGGAGTTTCAGTCTATTCGGGTTTGGGGGGTCTACAGGGTTTAGGATAAATAGTGTCTCAGGGCTAGACCGGTTGCAAGTTGATTAGAGTTTAAGGTGTCATGAGGGCTCAAGAGTAGTAGGGCAGAAACCGTCATCAGGGCTTAGGGCCGGTAGGGTTTCTTTCTGGTTTAGGCATTTAGGCTGGCCGACGAAGAACGCCAAAAAAAGGAGCAAGCTCTTATCACCCTGCATCGTTAGCCAGTATAAACGCCTGTAAAAGCCGAGCTTTAAGCCTTAATAAATCCAAGGGTAAAAGGAGGGACCTCTAATAAGGACCCCTAGGTGTATACCTTTAATAGCTATTATATACCCATTATATAGCCCATTATAGGGTAAGGGTCCCCATTAAGGGTCCCCCCTTTTCCCCTTTGAATAAAGACCTGCTGGAAACTTACAAAATCCTCACTGGAGAAAACGCCTACGAAACCTTACAAGAAAAATCCTCAAGTCCTCGGCCAGTTGGAGCGCTTCACATCCCGGACCGGCAGCTCCCTGGAGGACCATTCTAGGATGGTGCTTTTGGGGGAAGCCGCACTTGGAAGTTCATGGGTAGTTACAAGTGGGGCTCCTGTAAGGCTTCTATCGTGCCTAGGGTAGTTTTAAGTGGGGCTCCTTTTCAGGGATCTATAGAGTTTAACATCGTTTTAAGTCCCTAGTAATATGGATTATAAGTAGAGTTACCTACTTAAAGTCCCATTTATAACTACCCATGAACCTCCAAGCAGGGTCAGACCGGGCTCTTGAGATTATGGAGTTGTAGGGTTCAGGGTTACGATCATTGCACGGGGCAGAGTACGACCTGCTTGCTACAGTATGAGGGTCACTATCAGGAATAGCTTGCTCTTCTACATAGTGTTCCTTATCATAACCATGGCATAATATACCCCAGAACCAGGGATGAAGGCACGCGATGCTTAAGCCTGTTTTCTATGCAACGGATATAGACAAAATCTTCAAGCTCGTATGAACACCTCGGGCAGCTCTGTTTTCGCGAAAGGATCTGCACGGCTAGTGAGCTTCAAGCTTTACGGTTTGGAGAGGTAGGACCTGCAGTATGGGCAGAGGCACGAACGGCTCAGAACATGGACTTTAGACAGTTTTAAAAGTAAGAGTCCGATGGGATTTCAGCGCAGTGCTCCATGTGAAGCCTGAAGTCCTTCTAATTCCGATAAGGACATGAACCCGTGGGAACTTTCTGGAGTCTACTGCTCGTTAGGCGGCCGCTAAACCCAAGTGAGGATTTTCCGAAGATGGGAACCTTAATATAGTACCCTAAATAGTAGGATCCTTATTCTAAGGACCCCCAAAATAAGGAACCCCTAATTTTCGGAAACTCCCAAGTGAGGAGTTCGCCTTGCAGCGGGCGCGCAAAGTGTTGGAGCAGCTGAGGCTGACACTGCTTCTTACCTTTGGTAAGTAGGGAATGGAAGAATGGTAGTAAAAGTAGTTATAATTGTACCCCATTTCTCCATTCCCTACTAACCAAAGGTAAGGCTTCGGAAGACATGCGGAAGCAGTCAGATTTATAGGCGAGTGTCGGCTCATGCGTGTATATCCCCCATCTGCATACATACACTACAGCTATTCACATGCTATTGTGGTGGGTATCAAGATTTTGGCAGAGACGCCGCTTGGAAGTGTCGGCTGGCAGTTCCCAGGAGCATACACACGGGCACGCGTACAGAATCCAAAGCAAGTACTGGCAGTAAGTCAGGCAGATGGCTCTTCGCCGTCCTCCTGCTAGAGCTTTTCCCCTGACTCCTTGTTTGAGCCATGCTCTCTTGTGGAGGTACCAGACATCATCAGATGCAACGGATGTCCGAGACTTGAAGTTAAAATCAGGAGAGAAGCAGCCAGTTCCGGTCTCCTTCAGTCTATGACCTTCCTTCATTGCGGATGGTGGCAGCGCTATCAAGTCTTGAAGTGTTTGACCTGATCCGTTCCGTTCTGCTTCGCACTCACGTCCGACTGCTACGTGACATTAGCAGTCACAGCAGTTCCATTCGTGGCCCGTCTACAGATCGTCAGGCGGTTCGGTCACGACCAATCGCTGGAAAAAGTATATACATGAGTGGTCTGCCGCTGCAGCGCATTCCTGCAGATTCTGGGATCGCGAGCTCCGAGGCC